TCCATAGATTTTCAGTACATATTAGCAACAGTTTTTTTTTTCAAATAAAAAGTAACTTTGAATATCATCTTATGCATTCTTTGGAACAATATTTCTCCTGAAGTTTGATATGGCAAAACAAATAAATATGATACGAGACCCTAACTGAAGTTTACTTTTCGAAATCCCATGCTTCAATATTTTGAAACTCTTTGACAAACCGATGACTCTCTCAATGTGGATTCTTTTAGACGCCACTCGTCGATCATGAACCACTTCGTCTGGGTCTAATTGCGATTTTCCCTTTAACAGCGTAGGGGTATTAATATGAACATCTTGATTAGCAAATAAATCCTGAACCATAATGCCTCTATCAGCCATTATGGAATCGCCCTTTTCAAAAAGCTTTAATGTAGGCTCCAGAAGACAAGATTTTTCAATAATCTGTCTGTCAGAAGCAGAGCCACCATAAGAATCAGAAATGAAGGTTATGGCACCCTTTGGACTGCAGCCAATCATGGTCTTGAGGGTGTTTTTATGCTTATAATTTGACCAAGTCACACTCTGACAGTTTACATGGGACGGCCTTTCAATAGGTATCTCAGTGGCATCTAGTATTACTCTGGTGTTAGGGAATTTTGATTTAAAGTCTTGGGGCATGTATTCATGGATGACAAATGGTGATGGCCAAAAGTTAATCTCTTTTAATTGAAAATACATGAAATTTATCCATGTAATAATTATTCTGGATACCGTGGACTCTGATACATTAAAAAGCATTGACAATTCAACATCTTCTTTGTCTTGTCTAAGTTTGATAAGAGTCATAAACAACTGGTCTTTTGGGTGAAGTAATGAACACTGGAATGTGAGCTCATATGCACTGGGTCCAAGGCAGTGAAAAAAACATCATAAAGTGGTTGTAATCTTGAAACCCAGAGTAGTAGTTAATGATTTTATCATTATTCATGACACTTTCAACAGACAGTTTTCCGAATGTTGGAATTTCACATTGTATACCTTGGTGTTGCAGTGCAGGCTCTTCAGTTGCACATTCATCACAGTCAACAAGTTCTGATTCAGTACTAACCTCTATTTCTTGCTGACAGCCAATCTCCTGGAATGGAATTAAATTTTCTGGGTGTGTGTGCCTCTTCTTAAATCGTTTTTCTCTTGATGACTCCTCATAACTTGCATTAAATGTAAAAATTGAAGGAACCGCATCTTCCTTTAGTCGTGATCTGTCACCTTATCAAAAAGAAATAGAATGAAATTAATTTATAAGATGAGGAAAATAGTTTGAAATTTTGATTGTAATTTTATTGAATATTTATAAAGTATTGAGCTGGATGTTGATATTTATAACCACAAGTTAAAATAAAATTAGGAAAACATATCAAAAGTTTCTTAAATTAAAATTAAATGAATTATTATTGAGTATTGTATTTATTATAAAAACAATCATCATGCTTATGCTTAGGTTGCCGAAATATATATTTGAATAATTTTACTATAGGCCCTAAACAATGGAATTAAAATACTCCCAAATAATTTCATCCACTTCATCTCCACCATCCTTGCTTGCATGTCTGTTTTAACAGGACGTATATACCTGGGAAATTGAAAACAAACCACAAAGCAACACGAACAGGAATTCATTTTATTAGTTAAATAAAACAATCATAGAAAAAAATCAATGAAAATTCAACAAAAACAATCTATGAACGTGTAATTAATACCGTGACTAACCTAATAGCGTCGTCTTGAAGTCACCGGGGAGGAAGTGGGCGTGACACACAACGTCAAATTTGCCAGGTGTCCATAGACGCTTTCTCTGGTCTGTTCGTCTAATAGCAACTCGCCATTTCAATTTCAGTGTATTATCAGACGGAAAGCGATGCCCGCCTGTATTTTTACACCCAGGAACGCAACAATATTGCGGCATCCCTCGTTGTAATGAAATCTATCGTTACCTATACAGTCAGTAAGTTAGCGTCATACGAAAACATTCAAGCGTCTTCAAGACAAAGCGTCCCGCATACCACTTATAAAACAGTAGCGCCACCTTTCGACCTAAAATGCACGGGTGGAACCTATTCACTGCAGTAGGTAGAGACCACTTTTCCTACTTGACTATATAGGTCCCATGTCGCAGCAGTTTTGATACGTCAAAGATCACACACTGCTAAATGACACTGAGTGCCGAGCATTTGAATCCCTCCATCGGCAGGTGGTAGCGTGTCCATATGAGTGAAACCATTCAAAGAGGGACGTAACATGCATAAAAATCATATTAAAATAACATCGCACTATTCCTCATAATACCAGAAAATGAAATAATCTGTGATTATTACAGTAAAATTCGTTTAGTAGGAACACGGATATAGCGAAGTTTTTCGGGGTCCCCGGCATAATTCTTAATATTTCTTTGTAAAATTATACGGTTATAACGAACTCTGATATAGCCAATATATGGATATAGTGAACTGAGTTTCCTAGACATTAGAAATAATATAATTTACATCATCTTTTATAACGAATTTTCGAAGATCTAAAAATTTTATATTTTGAACATGTTTTATTTTCACTAAGCATTTGTATGTAAAATTTAATTTATAATAAATCGTTACTTATTTCAAATATGTTTTGTAATATTTGCTTCCCTGGTATATTCGGTAAAAATTCTTGAAGGAAAACGTGCATATTGCGAATTCGCTATATATTTATACGAATTTTGCTATACGGATATAACAAATTAAGGATAGAGCGAATTAAATCCACAGGTCCCCAGGATTTTGCTGTAACCGAGTTTTACTGTATATAAACCTCTACTTTAAAAGTGGGTTCGGTCTGAAGATCTAACAAGATATTTCCATTTCCATTTTTTTTACCGGCCGCCAGGAGGCGGTCGGTTATACACTGTTATATGATATGAAAGTTTTAAGTCGCTGCGCGTTTCTGTGGAGTTAACAATGTAGATAAAATTATTCAACATCATATCGCCGGCGATTTAATATAAACAAAGATTTCTAAATGTTTAGGAAAAAGCACAATAATCGTAAAATTCAATTTTATAAATAATGGGGTAAATATTTCGTCCAATCCTGATTGACAAATTCTGATATTACTGAAGTGCGGAGAAAATTAGTAGGAGTGTAAGGCATAGTCTAAAACAAAGACCGCGTTGTAAATCAACAATTTACTTTCTCTTTTTAAAACAGGATCTGCTCTATTAATTTGAAATGAAGTGTATATTTAAACATTTCCTATGGATGTTTTTCAAAAATATATGAAATATTGATTTCTTAAAAGCAAAGAATATTACGACATGTTGGTCCAGGAGACTAGGATATAGCGCATTTTACATTGTGCCAAACATTTTCCCGCCACATCTCAACACAAAAACAAAGAGATTGAAAGAGAAGAAATGTAGTGGTGGATCTTGAAAGAGTTGGGGGGGGGTTAACATCCTCTAAGAGAGAGCGAGGAGCCCCACATGTTATATATTTGTTGCGTTTTTCTTAAGGTAAAACTATAGCTAAGTTTAAACTTTAGTTTTGTACTTTTAATGTAAAAACTATTTAAACAGCAAGTTGTACCAAACTGGGTGCAGAGACGCAGAGGACTATGCATAGTTTATATTGCCTATACATGTAATATTGTACATGCATTATGCAATCGGCATTGTCGCATGCATTTTTTTTCATGTCACGAGGATATTTAAACAGATAAATATAAGAATTTTTTTTTAAAACAGCAAATTTCAGTTTCTGAAAGGAACTTCAACATGCAGTTATATAAATTGGTTTGCGGCCGATTTTTGACGCTTGCGTCAACATGTTTCTTGTTCATTATTGAGACTATATTTTGGATTAATGTGTGCACAGATGGCATGTTTTAATTTTTAGGTGCTCATTAAATTGCCCTTTTGAAAGAAAACACAAATTCATATTTATGAAATATTCTTAAACTTGAAAAGTATTGCTGCTTTTCTGATATCAAGAATGTTGCTTAATAAGAATGTTGCTTAATAAATACATAAAAGACTAAGAAAAGGACACACATATTTCAGTTGAGCCTAACGTCTTGAAATATTGTTGAAAAATGCAATCTTTAAAGAGCAATATTGCTTTCCATAAACTGAAAGGTATGTAGAAATAATTTTCACTTAAATTTTTTATTTCACCTTGGGTCTGCTTTGCAATAATGAAATTTGTTTATGACCTCCAAGCCGTACACATGAAGTAGGGTGGGTTTTTTTTTTATTATGGTGACGGTTATAAAAATTGTATGAAAGAACTCGTATTGCGTTGAAAGAACAAAACAATTTCGTTGCAAATCTATACAAAATATAAACATTTTTTAATTTTTTACTTTGTCCAAAAATGCTGTGATTCAGTTTTACGTAGCATACATCTAGTATACATTGCATAAATATACGTTTATTACACGACTGTCAAAAAACGTGACCAAACTAAATTCATTTTAAAGTGTATACTATGTTATTTCAATTAATATTAATGAAGTCATATGATAACAGCTTACAAAAATAAATTAAGTTTTTAAAAAAGTACCATTGTGCTTATCTATTTTCTGTCGATTTTTTAACGTATATCTTTTCACTGCTGCAAAAACAGGTTACCCGTGAACCTAGTCAATAAATGTATAATGTTCACCTGAAAGGTCATGTGCAGGTATTTGATATTTCTTCTAGAATGTTAGATCTCAGCCAAGCAGAGAATTTGGAACTATTCAATCATATTAATAAAACATTAAATTATAAACAGCTTCATTCATATTGTAACATATAATCTTATCATGAACATTTTTAGATAATCAGAGTTTAATGTAATCTACAGCGTTTAAATCTATACATCAGAATTTAGAGAATGATATTTAAAATAACCATCACAAAACCAAATCTCTGTTGGATGAATATTGATCTTTTACAGTTAATATATTTCAGAATACTGATTTAGAGCAGCTGTGTTTCGTCTTAAAACTAAGCTGTATATAATTTGAAATCATTGTATGAAGTTCATGTACTCCTCTTTTTTTTTACCAGTACTTAATCAGACATCAATGACTTTAACTAAATCTAATTCATAATCATTTCATGACATAATGCAGTGTTACGATTTCTAAAAGTCTCTTTAACTTTAAATGCATATGGTAAATATTGTCTTTTTTCACAATCATTTCCTGATATGATTTAGTACGCGTTTACATGTATTTGATTTTCTTCACTTTACCACTTTTCCACTCAGCTACAAACAGGTTGTCTCTGGTGTCTACACACAAACCCCATGGACGCTGTAGATCACAGTTATCAATATAACGGAGGAACTGTCCGTCCTGATGTAGGATGTGGATACAGTCTTTTCTGTAGTCTGCTGTCAGGATCTGACTCTGGCTGTCTGTGGTGATGCCGTGTGCATCAAATAGATCCTTGGTAGTAGAAGGGTGTCCAGTGTATCTAAATCGGAGTTTCCCTGCCTGATTGACCACCACTACTGCATTTGCTCCCCAGTCAGCCACACAGATATCTAGGTTCCTGTTCTCAGTGATGTATTTAATGCAACCAGATGAATACAAGGGCTTACCTTCACTATTAAATTGAATAGTTTGTTTTTCTGTGGACCCAGAGTAACGTACTACTTTTGACTGTTCATCGTCACTGGTCATGGTAATCAGGAGGTCACCAGTGGAGGTACTACAAATATAGTAAGGTGTCCACCCTGGTGGTCTGATCACTTCCTGTATTTTATCATTGTTCACTATGTTCACACTTCTTGTATCAGGGTCAGTATAAACCAAATCTCCACTCCTTGTCACTGCTATATCACGTGGATAATTTCCTGACTTGGTTTGGATTGACTTCTGTAGTCTGCCCTGGAGGTTGTAGAGTTTCATGATTTTGTCATTCCCACGTGTCCAGATTTCTTCATCACTGAAACAGATAATACTGTACAATGAGTATTCATACCCAGTGTTTATTGTGGCAATGAGCTGTGGTTCATCAAGCAGTGGTTTGACTGCAGGACAGAATAAAGCTTCTGGTTTCTTCATAGGAAAGCTATGTTCTTCTGTTGTAATGGATAATGCTGACAGAGAACCAAAGATTTGATGGAGCTGTTCTGTGTTGATCTGATGAGGAGAAAATCTTGGTAATGAAGCTTTGACTTTTTGGGGTAAACGTCTAATCTCTTTATATCTAGATTTGTATACAGAAGCTAAGGAGGTATCATTCGATTCTAGAATTTTCTTCAGATCAACTATGCACAGTTTTACTTCTGCAGTAATCTGTTTGATTTCTTTTTCCTGTTTATTTAGAGCAGCCATGTGTTTAGTTTTCATCTCATTTATTTTGAATTTCTGATTGGCGACAATGATATTAATTTTTCTGTGCAATTCCTCTCCTTGTTTGGTTACAGCTGTTGTCAGTTTCCTATAGTGTGTTTCCAATTTATCTTTCCAACTTTTTATGCCTGATGTAATTTCTTCATATTTTGGGTAAATTATAGTCTCAAGTTCTTTTAATTCTTTTTCCATGTCTTTTATTTTGGAGCTGAGTTTTTGTAAAACATCTGATAAATGATGTCCCCTATGGTTACCAGTGGAGATGCAGGTAGAACAGACAGGGCTGTCACATTGCTCACAGTAAAGTTCACAATTCTTGGAATGCTTTGAACATTTTGGATAGTTAGGAGTTGATGTTCTTTCTGTGTATGGTACAACTCTATGTTTTGTGGTTGAATCAGAGAGATGCTCTCCTACACAGGCCTTACACAGGTTGACATGACAAAACTCGCAATGACTTTGTACCACATGGTTCTCACAGAGGTCACATATAAGGATATCTTGAGCACAATACCGGGGATCCATTGCTGATTTTATAGCTACTAGCTCAGGTGAAATCCTGCATTGAATGTGGAGAATTTAAAGTGATGGTAAACTACCACTATTGATATTCCCATGGAATTAATTGATTTTCTAATACAAACAATTTTTTGAAAAGAAAAATAGTATTTCCAATTAATAGAGATATTTGATTTTAATTTTCAATGACTATAACATAGTTATATTTATTGCGAAAATTTAATTTTCAGACACATCAATCATTTTGACAATTCAAAGTCCTTACTTATTTCAGACAAGCTTCCCATATTAAATAGTCAGTTAATATGTTAGTTTTTTAAAAAAAATCTCTCATGCACATAACTGTAAATACAAAGGGTACTTAATAACAAGATAAAAACAGCTTTATGTATGAAGTCTGACCTGTAAATCTAACATGGCTCCCGGACGACACCAATATTACTCCTTCTTCAGTTATCTGTATTAACCTGTGTATTTATCATGTGATTTAAATACCTGTACTTGTTTATTAGTATAATGTATACATTCATCACATGTCAGGTCAATTTTTTATGAAGTTAAATGTGTAGCATTCAAAGAGTCATAACCCATAAATTTCTTAGTCAGTGTTTTGATTTTTTAGAAATAGAAAATTCCTAAAGTTAGTGGTAAGATTTAAATTAATTATTTGATAATTGGGAGGAACAATCTATATGAACTGTGTATTTTTCAGTTAGAAATTTTTAAACAGAAAATAATCCCTTCCTATCAAAGGATCTCAGTTCGAATCCACTGTAGGACATGAGTACCGATCTTTTAGATGAAGCTGTATAAACCGAGGTCCCGGTTTGCAGTAGGTGCTGGCATATAAAAGATTCCCTTCTCAATGACCCCGAGTATAGAACAAAATTCGTAGCTTTCCACCAGCGAGAGAGAATCAATTAATCAAACAACAAAATTTTATTTGACATGTTATCAAGCATATCATAAAATGTTTCAGAAAATTTGAAACAATTTTAATTGCCTTTTGATCATCATATTCTTTTCTTCAATCCACAAAAAGGAATAATTTCTTATTCAGCAAAACAATTGATCAAAAAATGCCATATGAAAGAAAATATTAATCAGTCTCATGACTTAACTTTGACGGTCCCTTTGGCCTTAGTCCCACTAGTTTGAATAATGGATTCTCTCAGTATTGTTTAAAAACAAATATACAATCAAAATATATTTATCATGACTTATTTTGCTATCCAACTTATATCTTACTTACTGTATATTTGTACAGTCATGAACAGACTGTATATTTGTACAGTCATGTACAGTAGTGGCCATAAGTGAGTCATAAAATGGCCGACGTGACGCAGCGTGAAATTTATAAACTTCAAAACAAAAATGCTAATTATTCAAAACTAAACAAGTACTTACAGTTGATGCTTTAATATTTTGTTGCATGGCCTTTAGACCTGATGACCTGTCGTAATCGAGCCGGTATCGATGCATATAAGCTCCGTATGTAGTGGAAAGGTAAGGACTGCCAGATTTCTTTGACTTTACTTATAAGTTCTGCGCGACTGTGAATGTGGTGTACTTCTCTTTGAAGTTTAATTTTTATTGTTCTCCAAACATTTTCGATTACATTTAGGTCAGGGGATTGTTAGGGCCAGGTCATAGATTTTAATTCATTTTCAATCTTCCACTGTTTCGTAGCAAACGAAGTATGTACCGGTGCGTTGTCATGTTGGAAAAGATAGTCATTTGTAGGGAAATGCCTAGCTATCACTGGCCATAAATTTGTGTCTAGTATATCAATATACTTCTGTGAATTAATTGTGCCATCAACTTCAGTAAAAGTTCCGATTCCTTGGTAAGTTACACATCCCCAAAACATTGCGGAGTACTTCCCCGTACCACGAACGCCCAGACATTCTGGTCGATAAACTTCGTCGGGTCGTCTCCAAACAAGTACATTTTTATTTTGATCAATTACGACTTGGGTTTCATCACTGAAAATCACTTTTTTCCAATGGTTGTCAACTGTCCAGTGTAATCTTCCTCTGCACCAGTGAACCCGACGATTTCTATTCTCCTTACGAATAGTTAGTGTCTTCCGTATTTTCCTTCTTGTGTAATTGTTAGCCCGCAGACGTCTTCTAATAGTCCTTGAAGATATAACATTTGGTAGAACATTGTTTGCCTCCGCAGTAATATCACCCAAAGTCTGTCGCCTATCATGCTTCAAACACCTAATAATTTTTCGGTCACCACGAACATCCGTTTGTCTCGGACGACCGCTTCGGCGCTTATTTTCCGTTGATCTACGTTGCTGAAATCGTTTCAGAAATCGAGATATTGAAGATTGACTTACATTTAATCATTCTGCAATTTGACTTTGTTTGATTCTACTTTTAGTTATTGATATAACCGATTCTTTAACCGGCGTTGACATTTGTTTCCTTTTAGAAGCCATCTTTACACAAATGCTCTATTTACCCAAATACGTCACATCATTAAAATGACGTCACGATCACTTGTCTTAGATCCTCCTCGAAGTGATAATGTTTTCAACTTTTGCCTGCGCGATACTTATTAACAGTATAAAGCAAAAATCATTCATCAAGGAGAGAAGTGGATATTTTGAGACGCCATTTTATGACTCACTTATGGCCAGGTACTGTAAGTTCTTCTGACTGTAGAAATATAATCAACAAGATATAGTCATGGTCCATAATTATACATAGTAACCACAGGCACCTGGTTACTTATTTTTCGTTTAATAAAAAATAATTTAATTTCACATGTATCAAGCAATTTCATTGGTTGTGTATTTCTAATTCGGGTTTATTTAACGAATAAATCTAATTTCACCTTGTGTTATACAATAGCATAACTTGGGGCAGTTTACGCTTTATAAACCGCAAAGCGGTTTATATAAAAGCGTAAAATGCCCCCAAGTTTTGTTATATCGTATAACATAAGTTGAAATTAAGGTTCATTCCTTATAATTTAATTTCAGTGTACTGGTAATGTTACAATTTTTCTTGTAGACTTCTTTAAATCGCTTTCATTTTGGACACTGTTCTCTATTTATCTGTTTTCACCTATCGGCTGAGCGAGCTAAATGTTTACTTGTAGCTGCTCGGTTAGCTGTCGCTTAGAAGAACAACAACGTAAACGTTACAAACCTGGTATTACTGTAATCCAACTATAATTATTCGCGTCATCTTTTATTCACGATTTGTCAGTCTAAAATAAGTACGCGACGATTAATTTCCACGACCGAGGAAACATTCTCTACAAATCCTTAGTAAAATGAATGGTTCGCGGCGAATAATATTCGCGAGTTTAAGGTGGTCGCAGAACTCGCGATATTTCTCGCACGCGAATAAAAATGATTACAGTAATGTTAATTAATAAGGAAGATCTTATTCTTCTGCTGGTATTATGTATGACATAGTATGGAGCATATGGAGATAAAGAACAGTACTCAATATCAAAGGGTTCTTCATATTTAGGACCTTTTAAAATAAGGGATCTAATGTCCTTATTTTTAACTATATTTACGTCACCTGTAATAACGTATACAGCAGGACAATAGTTATAAAAGGAAGAAGAACATTAACACAATGAAGGATTATATTTCAGATAATCGGTATCCAGGGCATGTAAAATTTGTTTGTAATTAAAATGTTTGGAAGCAATGGTCGATGTATATTTGTAGGATTTACAAAACATAGTCTTTAATTTGAAATATGGTGGAATTCAAGACTGGACCCTTTTGTGCTTAAGAATAATACTTATATTAACCGCGTCAATTCCTTTATTGGCATATTGAAGTTTAAGGAAAACACTGATTATTTTAGCTGCATTTTCTTCCGTAAAACATGCGGGTTTAAAAATGACTTTAAACGAGACTGCTGATATTCTTGTTTCATCAACTTGTTTGTCAATAACTTACCTATTTTTAGAAATTGTTCATAAGTAGAACTTGCTCATGCTTATCAAATCAACTGAGGTATTACACTCCATATGCAATTGATGAAGGTATATTTTTGCATAAGTAAGGGAATTTGACGATAGAAAAGTTAAAGTCATCATAGAGCTTGGTTGTGAGATTACCATTAACATCTTTTTCAAGTAAAATATCAGAAACAGATGTGTCAAACTCTGTGGTATCTTTTGTCTAAACTTCACCACGATATATTGTATCGACATAGGAATGTAAATTACCAATTCTATTTGACAAGACATTGTCGATTTTTCTAAATGTCGAGTTAAAGGCCACAGCAAGTGTTTTCTTCTTTTTCATGCATAAATTAAAAATAGGTCCGTTAATAACAGAAGGCAAATGATAATCCAAAAGATTGTTGGAAGACCAGGTCTCAAAAAACCACATAGATATTGTCAATCAGAAACTGAAGCATCTTTTTTATGTCAACTTCAGAATACTTGTGTGTGACTAGGTGTGGGATGACTTATAGTGAGTAAATTTTATAAGATTTAACATAAGACTCCCTTCATGTCATGCAACCAATTGTTTATTGGAAAATCTTCAGAGTTGTAGTAGGACGAAAACAATAAAAATTGTCTAATCCGAATGTTGAATATTCCGAAATCTTGTCTAATACGGTGTTTACCTAATAGAATTATGCAGAAATTAAAATATTATCATGATCGAATTCAATTTAAAATCATGAGAAAAGAAATCTGATACCTATATTCAATTTAATAATATTCAAAAGAAGAGGATAAGAAAATACAAATAACCGTTTTCTGAGAGAATGTAGGCAATCTGGATACTTTTCCTACGTCTGATATGAAAAAAACACCATATTTATAACTGGATTTCTTAATATTTCATTTAAAATGATTGTTTGACATTTGATTTTCGTCTTCCTTACCTAATAAATATGCCCTATTTGACCAAGCTGTAGTTATAAGGCATCGTTAAAGGAATTAATGTATTAAGGTATCCGATCCATAATACATGTAACCTCAGATTCAATGAATTTGAATGCATAGCAGATCTCTATTGACTGAATACTCAGTATATGTAGGCATAATCTTTATGTTTTAGTCTAAATATGTAAGAGCAGAACGTGTCCTAATTTACCTTGACCTGTCCTCGAAGAGTTATCATTCTTTGCTTTTGATCAACAAAAATCATATTTGAAAAAAATCTTAATTATTTTATGAATCTTTCCACCAAAGTATTTTTTGATATAAATAGTGTTTAAATTTTTATTTCAAATAATTTGCTCTTTTTCATATACCTCAACGCATTCTTAATTAATTATTTACTGCCCGATTAATTGAATTTCTGAAGATTTCTCCTGGTAAATCCTTTTCTATTCGTAACTGCTTTGAAATAGTTTCAGAGTATTTAATATAGATTGGATATAAAAGGTTAAAAAATTATGTCCTTTTATGGAACGGATACCTTAAATTTGAGAAATCTATAGGCACCTTTTATTTACTAGATCTGGACCTTAATACACATCTTTTAATCTAGTCTTTACCGGTCACAGTAGCCTAGTGGTAGAGCGTTCGCTTCGTGATCGGGAGGCCCGGGTTCGATTCTCGATCGCGGCGCCGCGTCATACCTAAGACGTAAACATAGGCAGTGACTGTTCCTTCGCCAAGCGCTCTGCACTAGAAGTGAAAGTCACGGGTCTTTCGGATATGACCTTAAAAACGTAGGTCCCGTGTCACGGTAGGCGTTGGCACGATAAAGAACCCTCACTGCTCAATGGCCCTGAGTGCCGAGTATAGGTCTAAATTTGAAGCCCTTCATCGGCATTGGTGACGTCTCCATATGAGTGAGAAATTCTCAAGAGGGACGTTAAACAATATACAATCAATCAATCAATTAATCTAGTCTTATGTAACTCTACCATTTTAATACACACCTTAAATCCTAGTCTTATGCAACTCTACCATCTTAATACACACCTTTACACTTAGTCTTTTGTAAGTGTGCTGCTGCACCTATTAAATATAATAAGGGGACCGACTGTGGTTTTATTGTGTGAAAACGACAATAACAAAACGCTTCATTTTTAAGCCATGCATAACTTATATGAACTTTAATGTTCATGCAACGTTTGGACGATATCTACCGCCCAGCTATTTTTAAGGGACCGCTTCAAAATATAGGTACATTTACTATAGGGTTATTTTGGAAAGTGCCCAATTTTTTTGCACGTTTAAGCAAATTATACAAATACTACAATAGGTTTTTTGTTCAAACTATAATATTTGATGAGTAATATTATATTATACTTTATGTGTAAGAAACACAAAATTCTACAGTCTTGTTACCAGAGGGGGATCTCAAATAGCCAAAAATGTACGAATTTACCCGCTTTTATAGCAAAGTACAAAATATGACGGGAACAAAGGTATTACATGAAAACTAAAAAAAATAATAGAGAGATTCTTAAATTTCCATGTTTTAATTTCAAGAGCATATGTCTATTACTTTTTATTTAATAACATTTTAAATACCCCTTTCTTTAAAGCCTCAGTTTAACATAACGTTAAAAACACACTATAACGACGTCAACCTATCTATCAATTGCAAAATCGGTGAAAAAAATCATTTATATAAAATTGTAATGACTTTTTTATACCTATAATTTCTTAATTTTGCTATTTTTTTTATAATTAGGCAAAAAAGTTTTTAAAAAGTACATACGTTTCTTTTTACGATGATGCGCGAAAAATTGAAAATTATAGTCGACCCCCTTAAATAGGTTTCATGATAAATATTCTTGCTTATAGGAAGTAAATTTGCAAATTTGGTCAGGACTAGGGATTAAAGGAAGAATCCTGAATGGTCTATTACTTATAAAAGTTATATTAATATCCAATCCTACTTTTACATTTCTTGAAAAAAAAACACTCAGAAATACTGAATCAAAAGTAAATGTACTGTACTTTAAAATATCCGTGCCTCCAAATGAAGTTACAAAGCATAAGAAATCTGACCGACAACATCTTTGTGGTTTTTGGAGACCAAGTCTACTGGAATCTCCAAGGGTATTAATTGTGCCTTTGTATTCATGTACAGCAGATTGTGTTCAAAATGATATATGTGAAATGAAGAAAACACTTGACATTGAGATACATCGACGATATTTTGTTAGTTAACAATGGTAATATGATAAATATAATGATAAATGATATATATCACAAAAATTGCATTTTCTTTTAACGCGGGTATGTTAAGGAAGCATAAAAGTAATTTCTAGGGAAATTTAGACTTTTTAAAGAAAATTTAATTTAATAAATTACCAAAACCACTGATAAACGTAAACTGTTATTTACTATTGCATACAGATAAAAGCGTGTCTAACGCAAAGACGTGCATCACCGCCACGGCATCACGTGACTTCTATTAATAGCTAAATTGTCCTTAATAAAAAGGCTTACAGAACAACAATACCTAGGAGTTTGATAATTACTTTGAATATGTAATATAGCTGAAAAACATCTATTTTGTCTTAAGAGTTCTGCTAGAATCCCACTATCTTGTCCGTAAAATATTTATTCCAAACATTCTCACAAAACCTTACCCTTTGTTTTGAATTTTAAATATATGAGTGCCAGAGAGAAGGCAAGACAGAGGGCCAGAATGAAGAGTGATGAGGAACTAGGGATAAAGAATGTAGCATATACACCCAAGGTCAAAGGACTTTTGAAGCGGAGTACCTCAAATACACCAAGTACAAGTGACTTTATCTCTGACAGTGATGATCCCAGTAAAGTGTTACACTCCACCCCAGTGGAGAAAGCAGAAGTGCCAAAACCAGAAATCAAATCCAGTGGGAAGACAAAAAAGAGTAAAAAGAAGAGCATGGACCTAGATTTGACTCTGTCTGAGAAGTCAGATGGTGACACGAGTAAAGAGAAAATCAAGAAAAAGAAATCCCTGCTTCAAATTCTGAAGCCTGGGAAGGACAAGTCTCCTAAAGACCTGAAGGACAAGCGATCTTCGTCCAATGACACTCTGGAGGAAAAAACTCCAAAGAAGAAGAAGAAAACTCCAAAGTCTGACAAGAAGAAGAAGAAAATGATGTCAGAATCAGGAATGGAAAAGTTGGATAAGGGTCTGAGTGAACTTAATTTACAGGGAATGAAGGAGAGATTTACTCTTGAGAAGAGACACACACCAACCCGGAGGTATGCTGTCAGGAAGACGATACCACCCAAAGCTGATCGTAAGTACTGAGGGGGAATTTAGACATCTATAGCAAAGAATTGGGTTTAACTTTAAAGCTGAAGAGCCATATCTGTGTTCTCTGTCTTTGTTTAATTTGTTGCTTCAAAAAACCAGATGCTTTCTTAATTTTTCCTGATTTAATGTACATATGAAGACAACTGTTTCTTTCTTTCAGTGGATGAGTTTTCAGACTCGGATGACAGTAAAATGGACACACTGAAAAAGTCAAAGGTAAGTGCCTTAATCTCTTACAAATGAATTCAATTTCCTTATCACATTTAAAAACTGTGACTCCTGCGATCAACGTCTTACAATTCTTGATGAAAAAAAAACATTGCATTGTATATCTTTCAGGATCGTCGTACCATGTCTGAGGATGAACTGAACTATCGTATTGCTAAACGTGTACAATCAGCAGCCAGGAAACACATGAAGCAGCAGGAGCAGAAGAGACTGAGAATGGCACAGGAAATCCAACGACAGCTGGAGGAGGTGGACGTCAAACAGAAGGAGCTGGAGGAAAGAGGGGTCATTGTAGAACGGGCACTCAGAGGGGAGGGACAAGGTGAGAAAGGGCACTCAGAGGGGAGGGACAAGGTGAGAAAGCACATGGCCTTCAGAGAGGTCATTGTAGAGCGTTCAGGGGGCAGGGGGTAAGGTAGATATGGCACTCAGAGGGGAGGTGCAAAGTAAGACAAGGCACTCAGAGGGGAGGGGCAAGGTAAGACAAGGCACTCAGAGGGGAGGGGCAAGGTAAGACAGCACAGGGCACTCAGATGAGAGAGGCAAGGTAGGATAGCTAAGGACACTCGGAAAGAAGGGACAGGAAAGAGAATGGGGCACTAGGGCTAGGTAAAATTTCAGGGGCAGTCAGAAGGTATTGGCATGCTTTAAGGTTTAGAGTACAAAGGCAAAAGGACAAGGTAAGAAAATGGGATTATGAACAACATTTTTGGATGAATAACCAGAAAATTTCACTTTCGGAGCAGGTTCATCTCCAAGAAATTTTAATCCTGCATCCTACATAAACCATGTTTATATTCCTGCATAAATTATACTTGAAAGAATTATGTAAGATTAACCTTATTTTTCAATAGCATTTGTGAAGGAAAGCTTTGTAATCTTTGATAATCCACCAGTAAATGTGGAAGTATTCTTTTTTTTGTAGATGCTGGTAAAGAGGAGTCTGAACTCATGCAGGAATGGTTCACTCTGGTGTACGAGAAGAATGCTCTAGTGAGATACGAGTCTGAGCTCATGGTCAAGTATGTCTTTTATATTTTCTCAATAAGATAACTACCTTTACCTTTAATTGTTGTGTAGGCTATGTCTGACATTCAGAAATTATTAAAATATCTGTGTTGTATTTGAACTATCGTATGTTCTCTACTAGTGTTTTTTTCTAGGTAAATAAGTATAATATGAGGGTAGTAAATATAATGAGAATGTTTATTACACATACATGATACATTTGTCTTCATGCTTCAGTGCATTAAACATTTGTCTTTCATGCTTCAGTGCCCAGTACATGGAGTTGGAGGACAGACACGGTCGACTGGAGCAGGAACTCAGAGAAAAGATGTCCGTAGACAGTGAGTATCTTAGTCTTCTGAATGTTTAACTTCCCCATCTCCCCAGACAGGCCCTCAGTAGACCCCTAACATGTGGACTTAACTGACTCCAAATCTTATCTACTAAAATATGAAATTTATTCGTATTAAGGCATGCTTAAAAAATTACATTCATAAGAATGTTTATTGAATAACCAATGGGCATATTTGGTAGCTTTCTGTAGAATATCTATGAACATGTAAATAGCTTTGTGTGAACCCAAACTTAGATTGCAGTATAAATGACCTTGACCTGCATTTTGATGCTTCAGATGATGGTGATAGTGATGAAGAAATGTCTCTGTCAGAACTCCTCAAAATCTATTGCAATACTTATGGTATTATATTTCATTACCCTCTGATGGATCCCTAGATACAAGATTACCCTTTCTTCTTCCAAGTCCTGGCCAAAAGTCCTATTACAAAACCCCCACATAAATATCATCACTTTCCACCTGTCATTCACGAGTGGCATTAACTTTGTGAATTGCCAATATATTATGTTGCTTTGGATTTTCCTGGATGACAATGATTGAACATAAATGACTTTTCCCTTCATTTCACCTCAACCCTTGAAAGCCTATATTAAAACCTTGCTTTTATTAAAGGCATTTTGCTTATATTCAGACTAATAAATATTTTAATTTGTTCTCCATGGAAATACATGTAAGAAGTTTAAATTTTAAATTGATATGTCATTGACATTGGTAAGTCAATTAAGAATCATTTTCCTCACCTGATCTCTTAAAAGTTTTACCTAATATATAATTAGGTGACTGTGTGGTTTTGGACATTGAACTTGAGTCAGAATGTAGATTGTTAACTTTCTGTCATGTGATTTAGGTACATTGACAAATAGTGGCAAACTGAAGAACTTGTCAGAACTTCTCAGAACTAGCTCTAGACATGGTATATCATTCTGTGATGAAATGTTGTGTGGCTTAGTGGAGACTCTTGCACAAATATTTGGCTAAAATCTTTTTTTGATAGAGCGCTATGTTTGCAAAGTAGTTTTCTTTCATTTCATTCTTCTTTTAAAATAAAGATAATTTATTGTATTTCATGTTAATTAATTATATGATATATTTTAAACTTTAAAAATATTCTTTAAACTCATGTTTCCCCAATAAATTTGTCTTATGAAAGAGTAGGAAAGAAAATTTAGAGTAGGGTGGTACTTTTGGTAGATGCAATTTGTGGAAAAATGTTTTGAGATTTTTTTTAATTTGGTTTACAAAATTTGAGAAATATTTCTAATTAAAAAGCAACCCTCATTTTTGACAGTTATTTTTGAAACATGAACACAGGAATTTTAAATTTATTTGTTGCCTTTGTCTTTATCAAAACATTTCAAGATATGTTTGGTGTGAATCAGGGAAATCCACTTTTCTCTTTTTTGTTCACTTATTTGGACAAAATAGTACTTACACTGTCATATGCATAACAAAGGTGTCGGATTTTTCAAGGCTTCACATTTAATTTGAATTCATATGTTTTCTCAATATATTGTTCAGTCTCTTTTCATAAATTTTATTCTTTCTTTCATTGTCAAGTTAAAAATGGCAAAGAGGTTTCTTGTTGTTATGCTTCAAGAAATTGAAATTCGTAACATTTAAAATTGTAAAATTTCTTAAAGAACATAACTTCAAGGTAGCACAAGTGTTAGAATTCGGAGGAAAATAAATTTTGAAATCTGTCTTGCTTCATGATCATTACTTATGAAACACAAACAGCAAAACAAACAAAACTGATAACTAATCAAATACATGAATTTATAACTTTTACAGTATTAAAATCATTTAAAATGAATTTCAAACAATTTTAGTTTTTGATTTTAAATTTGGTAAGTAGATTCTACTATGACATGCTTCAAACTTTTCTAATGGTATGAAATAGTACTTCATTTGACCAGTCTCAGCATGTTTTTCTTTATTATTTATTTTTATTGCATTTTTATTTTTTTTACTGCTTTTTTATGGTAGAGAATGGCATGCTTTATTTTTAACTTCCTTTGTAACTAAACCTTTACCAGATTCTGAGAAAACCCCAGCACAAGCGGCTGAAGAAAAACGAATCCTCGATGAACTTTTGGAGGTCGTCGAGGAAAGGGATAAATTAGTAGCTATGTTAGAGGAAGAAAGAGTCAGGTAAGGTTAAAGGTCATGTGGATAGAGAAAGGTCATATCCACTACTCATCAAGGTAAACAGTTGAAGTATAAAGAGGGGTGAATTTCTTAGAGCTTTCCTGTGAATAAACATTATGAATACTGTGTGATTTCATTATTTAATTTGCTAAGTTTGCTTTTTTGTTTTTAAAGTGATTTTTAAGGATAATTCTCATTCTTGTGTAACAGGAAAATTGGCAAAGGACTTTCAATATCACTTACAAATATCACATTAATTTTATTTGTTTCACAAAAATAAAAAAAAATTAAAATAAAAAAAAACAAGTAAAAACAACAACCAAAATATTTCTTTCAATATCAAATGAATGCATCTTAACTATATGTGTAATTTAAAAGATTACATGTAACTTGTACATGATTTATTATGTTGTCCATTCTATTTATGAATTGCTGTAAAGGGATATTGAAATAAAAACATAATGCATGTTTTATCATTCTTAACTTAATTACTATGATTTGATTTGATTATAGCTATTGACTTTTTTTTTTTCTTGTATGTAAAAAATCCCCAACAAACACATGTAAATAATGGTGATCTCTACAAAATTAGAGAAATATGGCATGTTTGTATACTTAGATGTATTGATAAATCTTAATGACGTTCTCTTTCTCCTGTTTTCAGAGAGCGAGAAGAAGACCGAGACTTAGAGGCCATCATGAACGCCAAGGGGTACAGCCTCGCCCCCACCGACTACGCCCAGAAAATCAAATTCTCCTCCAAAGTCTTCCCCCTCTCCTGCTAAAGATACCCTCATGTCACAGTCAGCTTCATGACTTGTGTGTTTCAAACTCAGAATACATGTATATTTCCTGTCAACTGACAGACAGAAAACATGTATATATCCTGTCACATGACAGACAGGGTATATTCATATAATTATCAAGTTTTAGTCTGGCTCACATGCTGCTTTCTTAAAGCTGCCTAGTTTTACCCTGGGCACCAATCAAACTATGACATTTAATTAATACGCGAGATTTTGAAAATGTTTGTCCTCTGGGAGGACAGTAATAGCCACTGATCACAAAGTGATGGTTTTTTCTATGATCCACATTAAAATTGCTTTAAAGACTTAAAGCTTTATAGCATTATATATAATAATAATAGTATGTCTACATGTCTGTACTATTGCCCGTCAGAGGTGCAGTGTGTGTTTTGTATATCTTATTTTTCATTTCAGCATTATAGTTTTCAATGCCATTTTGAAGGGTATAATTAAGTTTAGACTTGCAATGCTTAATGCAAAGTCATGTTGATATTATTGGGATCATATTATATTTTATGCATACAATGTTCTTGGCTACATGACTAGCAGTATGTCATTGGTTTAATACAGTTTTAAATTTATTAATTTTTTTATGTGATCTACCCTGATCTTTTGTCTGTGAATGTGATTATTTTTGTTTGATCTCTTACTTGAGATCTTTTAAAGAAATTATTTATTTGATATTAAATTATTGCTGATATATTTATATATCTATCATGAATGAAAAAGCAAACAATTAGACATTTTTACAGTTATGGAAGTTTGTAAATAAGAATTGTAAATTAAGTTGTTGAACAATCAAACATGTTTACTGTCTCTGAAATAGTGTTTACTGTTACCATGGTGATGGAGTAGGCCAGTTATAGAATATTTTAGAAAATGGAAAACTGAATCTCTTGTGTCCACTAGTCAAAGGTTTTCTTTCTGAAATAAATTTGTTTATTTATGAAAAAAGTTACCCTAGCAATTATTTCTGAAAATTTTCTATGATCATAATGGGATAGATTTTAATGATACGGTCTAAAACTCAGTAGCTGATGGATAGTGTATAAAAGTTGTACTGCTGTTCAATATCTTAAATTGATATTTACAAATTTCTATAATTTCACTGGAATATTTTCTACAGTTTGCATGAAAATTTCCATTAGATGATACATTTTCACAATACTTTGATTTACATAACGTATTTTATTTATTTAATAATTACATGAATGTCAATATAGACTGACAATGGTCAGAATTAATACGTATTTAGCTGGAAATGGCCTCCATGTCAAAATTTAGAAAATCTTACATAAAATTGTTTACTTAGTTAAGTTTGTAATACATGCTTTCTGGATATGAAAGAAAGTTAAAGTTACCTCTACTCACCCCACAAGTAGCATCAAAATCAATTTACTCACCAATGACACAGCAAAGTTAAATGAATATTATTTTAATTATCATTAATTTTGCTAAGAATGTACTTAGGTGCTAAGAATCATTTATTTTTTCCATTGCTTTAAAAGTGATGACATACGTTGCACATCACATGCATTATTTCAAAATAGGCACTTCAGGCATGCGTACAAATATGAAACACTGGAAAGGAGAAGACATGACAATGTGTACATGTAGATTTAAAAAATCAATCGAGAACAATTTGTCTTTGCATCAAATCAAGGAAATTATGTTCATTTAAAAAAAGTTACTCATATCATATATTAATAATTGAGCTACATTTTTTAGATTTGTAGCTTGATAATAAAGTGGGGTCACGCTATTATGTTTAGTTATTGAAATGTCATAGATTTGATATATAATGATATTATTTAAAAAAACTGTACATATTTAGGGCAAAGGGTTCTATTTAATATTTAGTTGTGCTCATTCAAGTCGTTTTTTGGAAGAAATTTATCGTCTGAACAACCACTCAGAGTAGAATTTTAATAAAATTTTCATCAAAACAATCATAAATTATTAGGAACAAGTTATGTGTATATGTAGAATAAAAGGGTATTTATGAGATCAAATTGTATGTGTCGGCTCTCTGTTTAAAAGTATAATATTACGTGTATTATGATGGGGAATCTTGTTTTGACACTGCTTTTATCAAATCCCATTCTTAGTTTTTTCACATAAAATATATAGATTACTTGCATGTAATTGCGGCACTTGAAATTTCCAATATATAGCTTTTTATAGCTTTCTCAATGTCAAAGCTTTTGCTCTATTGTTTTGGCCAATTATCTATCCCTTATCTCTCATTTATCTGCCTTTAAGTAGGAAAAATTAAAGCATTGAATTCTCGGGAAAAATCCGAGCCATAAGTTCTGAAAATTAAATTAAGGTAAACGTTTCAGAATCTTTAGTGAAGGTTTAATATGACCATTCTTTATATATACGTGTGATGAATGACCAAGATAAAACTGATTTATTAATATTATTGAAGCAATGTTTTATTAAAGTATTCCTCTTTATTACTCATTTTTAAGAGACACGATCTCATACCAGAGAGGAATTATATAATTTATGGTTATAATTTAGCATAAATTTACTAATAGGTAAATTTAACTTCACTATGAAAAACAATTTAAATATTTATATTTTTTTCCTTGACATAAAGAAACATCTTGAACAAATAAAATTTACTGCAATAAAAGAGCATATTCTTTATTTAAAAATTATTTTCTGGTTGTATTTCACTCTTTTTTATGTAAGGGTTGTGAAAGTGTTTACTTATTATTTTCAGTCAGTATTTTAAATATTAGTGTTTTTCTTAACAGATTAAATGGCAAATGTATACAGTATGTATTTCAGTTTTTGTTGGAAATCCAAAGGCTGACAGTAAGAGTTTTTGTTGATGTTGTGTTATATTTATTGATAACTTATTTTGTTCTCCTTGCTTTATGATATAGCTGACCCCTGCAATGTCCAGTTTAAAATGTAAACCTTGTTGAGCTGGGTGTTTTGTTTAGTGAAACAGTGTATGCAAATAATAAGAACAAACAGAATAAATGCTGATTACTTTACAATGATGTTATTATTTTTTCTTTTTAAGAAAGCATTGGTAATGTTCCAGTATTTTTAGCTTACCTGAGCCGAAGGCTCAAGTGAGCTTTTCTGATCAAAATTTGTCCGTCGTCTGTCGTTGTCATTGTTGGCGTTGGCGTTGTCGTAAACTTTTCACATTTTCATCTTCTTCTCAAGAACCATTGGGCCAATTTCAACCAAACTTGGCACAAAGTATCCTTGGGTGAAGGGGATTCAAGATTGTACAAATGAAGGGCCACGCCCTCTTCCAAGGGGAGATAATTATGATTTAGTGAAAAATTAATAGCATTTTTAAAAAATCTTCTCAAGAACCACTAGGCCAGGAAAGATGAAACTCGTGGAATCATCCTCAGGTAGTGTAGATTCAAGTTTGTTCAAATCATGACCCCCGGGGCTAGGGCGGGGCCAAAATGGCCGACCAAAGTTTTACATAGGAATATATAGGAAAAATCTTTAAAAATCTCCTCTTCTAAAGAACCACTGGGCCAGGAAAGATGAAACTCATGTGGAATCATCTTCAGGTAGTGTAGATTCAAGTTTGTTGAAATCATGACCCCCGGGGCTAGGGCGGGGCCAAAATGGCCGACCAAAGTTTTACATAGGAATATATAGGAAAAATCTTTAAAAATCTTCTTCTTAGAACAACTGGGCCAGGAAAGATGAAACTCAGGTTGGAATCATCCTCAGGTAGTGTGGATTCAAGTTTGTTCAAATCATGACCCCCAGGGCTAGGGCAGGGCCAAAATGGCCGACCAAAGTTTTACATAGGAATATATAGGAAAAATCTTAAAAAGTCTTCTTCTTAAGAACCACTGGGTCAGGTAAGATGAAACTCATGTGGAATCATCCTCAGGTAGTGTGGATTCAAGTTTGTTCAAATCATGACCCCCGGGGCTAGGGCAGGGCCAAAATGGCCAACCAAAGTTTTACATAGGAATATATAGGAAAAATCTTTTAAAAATATTCTTCTTAAGAATCATTGAGAAAGGAAATATGAAACTTAGATGAAATCATCCTCAGTTAGTGAAGATTCAAGCTTGTTCAAATCATGACCTCTGGGGCTAGTTTTTGGCCCAAAATGGCTGACCAAAGTTGTACATAAGGATATATAGGGAAACCTTTTAAAAACTTCTTTTCATGTACTTCAAAGCCATAATTAGTGAAATTTTTCTATTTATATGGAATCATCCTCAAATATTGTAGATTATACATTGTTCAAATCATGACACCCAGGAGGGTTAAAATTCAAGCCCCCCCGGTAAACTTTCAGTTTTGATCTGATATGTGCTTTTTCCTAGTAGGTGTGCTCAGGTGAGCGATGTGGCCCTTGGGCCTCTTGTTCTTGTGGTTTTCTATAAATCTTTTTCATTTTCGACAGAGTTCTCACGTCTTCATTTAAAGTTTGTTGATGTTCAAGTTCTGACCAAAATCTGGTGTTCGTTGAATAGCATAGCCGCTACGTAAATGAAGGATCTTGTATAATATACTAGACTTAATGCTACCTAGGGAAAGCTAGCATAGATATTTTGTACTAAGTATCAAATCCAAGATGGCCTCCTAAGTAACTTGATCGGATCACATCAGATACCGTGTTTTCTACATCAATATGTACTTTTCGAATGATTTATTTATTATATACACTGAACCAAACTTCTAAGTGTTCACCTAACATTTTTTAAAGCGGCACAGTGAGTCAAAATCGTATCTTTATTTTAAGATATCTGTAGCATACAGAGAAAGACTTACGAAAATTATGAGTATATAGCGAAGATATGACAACTAAACTGCAAGAATTGACTGCACAATATAAGTGCCGGAAAAACAAAGGTTGTATCTACCGTTTCGTTGTTTGGTATATGTCAAGGTCACGCTACTCTTATTTTTAGCTCAAACTTGTAAACAAAATTCAACTGGAGCATGCAAAGGTGAGAAATATGTTCTAACAGCTTTTTAAAATGATTACATCAAATT